TTAGGGTTTAGGGGCCCCTAATATGGACCCTTAGGCCTTTCTAGGGACCCGTAAGGGTAAATATAGGGTATATAGTAGGTGTATAAGGATATCAAAGTTAAGGGCCCGTGCTAGGGGCCCATGGGTTCAACCTTAGATTTTCGGCCGGGAGGAGCATCCCCCGAGGCGCCGGGTGGAGGATCGAATTTAGGGTGGAGGGTTTAGGGTTTTAGGGTTTAAGGGTTAAGGGTTTAGGGGATTTAGGGTTTAGGGTTTAGGGTGTAGGGCTTGAGGTTTAGGGTTTAAGGTTTAAGGGTTTAGGGCTTGAGGGGTTTAGGGTTTAGGGTTTAGGGTCTAGGGCCAGATAATTAGGGCTTCAATATAAGTGCCTTGATAATCAGAAGAGGGCTTGGGGGCATATGTTATACTAGGATTATAAGAAGGGAACCCTCAAAACCCCATTCGAAATATGAAGGCCCCTGCATTAGCCTGAGGCCCCACACTGGGCTTCGGGTTCAGGGTTTTTGGGGGCTGGAAAATCGAGGTGAACCCCTGGACATGACAGCAGAAGGTCCCTTCTCTAAAAGAGTGTCCCGTTTTGGGTCCCCAATTTAGTACGGCACCCGTTTCAACAGGACCCCAAAAAGGGAACTCCCCACACGAAGGACCCGCACCCAAAATCGGGATCAAAACCTATCGCGAAGCAGGGCCCCACACTCCCGAAAATCTCCCCAAACCCCAACCTCGCAAACTCCTAAACTCCTAAACCCTCAAATCCCAAACCCTCAATCCCCAACAGTGGTGGACCATGCAACACAGGCACCTCAGCGATTGGAACAGGGTTTGCGGGCGTCTATCGTACTCTAGTTGTTGTATAGGGGCTGTAGTATGCTATAACCCTTGATTCAGTAACCGTAATAGTAAGAACAAGGTTTGGGGACCTGCTATAGTATAAATATGTAGGGACCTACACAACAGCATGTTTCAGATAAAGACACCTCAACAAGTCCTAAATCCTAGAAAAATTCCCCACTAGGGTGTACCTCGTTTTGACAAAACCGTAGATTCATGTAATGTGCTCTTGTACGAAACCTGCACTTCGGCAGCTTGTTATAAAGCCCCAAACCCTAAATCCTAAACACGAAACCCTAAACCCTGAACCCTAAACCCTAAACCCTAAACCCTTTCTCAAGAGCCGAGCAGCTGAGCAGCACCCCCTCGAGGAAGAGAACCGCTGAGTGCGGCAGCCACGGCACATAGGAGGCGAGAACCTGCAAGCACCCCTCTCTTAGGGTTTAGGGGTTTAGGGTTTAGGTTAGGGTTTAGGGTTTAGGGTTGAGGGTTTAAAGCTAATCCCAGAAAGTTGGAACATAGGTTTAGTGCTAGGATCCCTTATACTTTATCTTAAGGTCATGAGGATAATCATGTTCCGACTTCCTGGCTTCTACGGTACGTAGGCTTTTCCGGGTTCAGGGACCAAGATTTAGGATGTGGGATCCGATACTTGAAGTTTTGGGGCTTAGGGTTTGGTGCTGCCGTTTCAATGTAAAGGCTACTTAATGAAGGCGTCTCCTGAAGAGGAGGGGGCGACAGAAGGACACATGTTAAGGGACAACAGGAGGGACCCCTTGAAGGGACCCCTAATCCAAATACCCTATATAACCCTTATACACCCCTTAACCTTAAATAGACTCATAAAGCCCCTATATAACCCCAAGGGTCCCTTTAAGGGTCCCTCCTTTAGTCTCTTGAACATGGGAACCGGAGACAGACTCCGTTTAGGCTTGAGGGTCCAAGATTCGTTTAGGGTTTAGGGTTTAGGGTTTAGGGTTTAGGGTTTAGGGTATTTTCAGGTGGGTAGTTACCGTTATAGGAGCCTTCTAGAAGGTTTATATACCTTGTAGAAGCCTTTTAGAAGCCCGAAAATACCCTAAACTCCCCACCTGTTTTTTTCATTGTGCATGGCATTGCGTCAAACAGCTACGCCCATCAAAACCTCAGCAGTTTTGAGCGAAACGTTTTTTTCGGAGGTCGGGTAAGAAGCGTTTGCGACCACCTGTAGTTTCCTTTCAACAAACAAGCTGGCTTTTGGGGTATATTCTAAACCCTAAACCCTAAACCCTAATGCTAAGGGGACTCTCGAGGCGTACTACTACGAGTCACCCGGGCTCCCGCACTTCTGCGCCCTTTGAACCGCAGTGGGCATAAACAACCTCAGAACCCCATCGAAGTTGGCTTCTTCCAGAAGCAAGACATCATTCCTCAGAGTACTCTAAACCCTAACTCAACCCTGCACCCTAAACTCTAAACCTTAACCCCTACACGCTAAACCCTAAACCCTAAACCCTAAACCCTAAACCCTAAACCCTAAACCCCAAACCAAAAACTAATGTATATGAGGGCCGTGGAGGCTTGCAACTGGACGGTTAAAGCTGTAGGATCTCTAGGATTTGGGGATTAGGATTTAGGGCTTAGGGTTTCGGGCTTAGGGTTTAGGGTTGAGGGCTTTGGGTTTAAGGTTTCGGGTCGAGGGTTTAGGATTTAGGGTTTAGGGTTGAGGGTTTCGGCTCTAGGGTTGATGGCTCAGGGTTTAAAATCTAGGGTTTAGGGTTTCGGGTTGAGGGTTTCGGGTTGAGGGTTTAGGGCTGATGGTTTAGGGTTTAGGGTTTAGGGTTTAGGGTTTAGGGTTTAGGGTTTAGGGTTTAGAGTTTAGTTTAGAAGGGTCTTAGAAGGCCCGGAACCCTAACACAGGGGCCGAAATGATTTGAACAGGGCTTTGGTGTGTAAAGGCACAACCATACTAAGGAACACTGAAGACTAGGATCATAAGTTACTCAACTTCCTACAATACCCGACACCTGACCCACCTGATGTTATCAGACCTGGTTGAGGGTTTAGGGTTTCAGGGTGTGTAAGGTTTAGGGTTCCGGGTATCAAAAAGCCCTAAACCCTAAACCCTACACCCTGAACCCTAAACGCCTAAACCCCTAAACCCCTAAACTCTGAACCCCCGAACCCAAAACCCTAACCCCACCTGGTGGGTCAGAGCCGCCATGGCGATGACTAGGATGACGAAGAGCACGGCAAAGGCAGGCCCGCCTGTTGGCTTCTCGTGGTTCCGGCGCTAGGGGTTTAGGGTTTAGGGTTCCGGCGTTAGGGGTTTAGGGTTTAGGGTTTAGGGTTCAGGGTGTAGGGGCTTAGGGTTTAGGGATTCAGGGTTTCGGTGTTTAGGGCTTAGGCTTTCGGGGTTTAGGGCTTAGGTTTTCGGGGTTTAGGGTTTAGGTTTTCGGGGTTTAGAGTTTAGGTTTTCGGGGTTGCGGGTTTAAGGCTTAAGATTTTTTCTTCTTGAACCCTGGAGCTTAGATTTTGCCTACAGCCCCAAAACCCTACGGCTTCAATCCTAATCGGTTTAGGGTTTAGGGTTTAGGGTTTCGGGTTTAGGGTTTCGGGTTTCGGGTTTCGGGTTTAGGGTTTAGGGTTTAGGGTTTAGGGTTTAGGGTTTAGGGTTAGGCCCTAGGCCTTCGCCCTAACCCCCGAAACCGTAGGTCCCACACCCTAAGCCCCAAAAACCCAAGAGCTTAAACCCTAAGCCCAAAACCCTCCACCCTAGGATTTGGCGAAAAATGCACTTTTCAACGAAGGGCCGGCCTTCGTTTAGGGTTTAGGGTTTAGGGTTTAGGGTAAAGATTTCTTCGTTGAGTTTGGCCAATGAAAAAGCCTAGGTCAAGGAAGAAACCGCCATATTCAACGAAGCGACTGCCTCCATTGAATATGGTTTGTGCTTCGCTGCATTTGGCGATTTCTTCGTTGAATTTGGCGAAAACAACACGGCAAAAAAAGAAACCTATTCAGCGAATCCCTATAAGGTTTGAATTGTGATAAAGAGTGTTTAGGAGTTCAGGGTTTAGGGCTTCAGGGTTTAAGGGTCTAGGATTTAGGGTTTTGGGGTTTAGGGGTTTAGGGGTTGGGAGGTTTAGGGTTTAGGGGTTTAGGGGTTTAGGGTTTAGGGGTTTAAAGTTTAAGGATTGATCCCAGGATTTCAGGGTGTTGTAGGGCTTGCGGGGATGTTGATGAAGGATTGAAATGGATCTTTGTAATATAGGGGGCCTCAGTAACTACAAAAGGGTACTTGACTCTAATTATCATTAACCACCCTTTTTGGGGCTTCTTGGGTGCCTTGTGCATACTTGTTTAAGGTTCTGCAGGTTCGGCCTCGTGGGCTGTTTGTTTTTCTGATGTTTGGCTCTTTCCTCGTTGGGATGGAGGGTTTAGGGTTTAGGGTTTAGGGTTTTTAGGGCTTAGGGCTTTGGGCTTAGGGTTTAGGGTTTAGGGTTGATCTGAGACTTGTTTGTACATGCAAAGATGAGGGAATGCCTCAACAAATCCCAAAAGCAGAAGATGAGATGGCGCAAAATGAAAAGGGTGCCTGAAGAACAACATCATGTTTAGGGTTTAGGGTTTAGAGGTTAGGGTTTAGGACACCAGAACAAGAGCATGCGACTACTAGTTGCTGAGACCTCTATTTCAGATGCTTCTGCGGCACCCTCTCCGCGAACGGCCGTCTCCATGTTCAGGCTCCGCAGCTCTTGCAGCTGACGATCCGACACCCGGACGAAGTTCTCGAAGACGAACCAAGTGACTCGTTGAGAACCTCGCGGACCCTAAACCCTAAACCCTAAACCCTAAACCCTAAACCCTAACCCTAGACCCTAAGCCCCTAAACGACTCTCACAGAATCCCCGGAGTTCAAGTTGGCAGGGTGTAGGAACTAGGATGTAGGATTTAGAGTGCAGGGGGTCTTCCTTTTCTGGAAGCTCCCTAAACCCTAAACCCTAAACCATGGTTGAAAGGCTCAGCATGGGGTTTTTGGGTTTACGATGCAGGGCTTTCGGATTCATCCGTCCCTGGGTCTTCGGGTCGGATTGCCTCAGCAACAAGCTGTGTACTGCGGCGCAACAGGACATCTCAAGCAAATGGCCCACTTTCTTCAAGTTTGGTCGCACTTGTGGTTGGATTTAGCGACTCCGTAGAATGCTGGCTGGCTTGTTCCAGCGTCTGGTTGCATGTAGGTGAAAACGGCTCAGATTGCAGCAAACGCACGTATTAAGTGTTGCAAAACTTCAGCAAATGGGTGACACGCACACACACACACAACCCTAAACCCTAAACCCTAAACCATAAATCCTAAACCCTAAACCCTCTAAACCCAAGGACCTGACTCTTAAACCCTGAAGCCCAAAGCCTAGTACCCAAAGCCTAAACCCCCTAAAACCTCTTCAGCCGTGAGGAACAGGGGGGCGTCGTCAGGCTCCCTGGATATGTGTAAAACTTGGAGAAGGCATCCTCTGGTAGGAGGTCCTCCCATACGTTGCAAAGGGCCGCAAAACTTAAGAGGACTTGCCCCACTGGTCAGGCTTACATAGGTAGTTGTCAAAATTATGGTCCCTTTTGGGGTACCCTAAAAAATAGGTGCCGTATTATAACCAGGACCCAAAAAGGGGACCATAATTTTGACAACCACCCACATGAAGGGCTGAGGGTTCGAGGCAACAGGCTGAAAGTCAAGAGTTCCTCGAGTCCAGAGTGCATTAAAGGAAACTACAGGTGGGGAGTTTAGGGTTTCGCCGTCCTGTTGGTGTTAAACCAGAGGGTTTAGGGTTTAGGGTTTAGGGTTTAGGGTTTAGGGTTTAGGGTTTAGGGTTTAGTTATAGGAAACTACAGGTGGGGAGTTTAGGGTATTTTTCGGGCTTCTATAAGGCTTCTATAAGGTATAAAGACCTTCTATAAGGCTCCTATAACGGTAACTACCTGAAAATGTCCTAGAGTGTAGGGCTTAGGAATAAGAGTCTTGAGTCAGACATCATGCGGTTGGTTTTGTTGCTTGAACTCCTGGTCAGGACTGCATGTCTGTTCAAGCCTTCAGGGTTAAACCCCTAAACCCTACAGCCTAAGCTATCAATTTGTGGTTTAAGGTCAGGGTTTGGGAGTTGGGCTTTCAACAGTTGGAGGAAGTTCCTGACTGCCCTGTTCGGCTCTGGTTTTAGGACAAGGCTTCCATTTTCGGGCTAAAGACTTCTTGTTGACTGTTTCAGGGCCCTAAACACCTTTATTAAACCCTAAGCTCTAAAGCATAAACCTCTAAACCCTAAACCCTGAACCACTAAAGCCCTAAACTCTTCAACCGTAGGCCCAAGACCCTAAACAAAGCGCCAACGGGTTTGGCACGAAGGCTATACCGTAAGCAGGATCCGTGTAACTAGCGGCTATTGAGCTCTGTAAGCCTTGCAAGACCACTCTGAAATCCGACAACATCTTGAAAAAATGTCAAACTGAAGCAAAATGCAGTAAGCCGTTCTAAACCCTAAGCAACAAAGACAGAGCATTTCTTGGAAAACAAAGAATAAAAAAAACCCAAAAGAAAACAAAACAAACACTGAGAAGTAAGCCCTTCATCAGAACACCTCGACGGCCAACTGTCCTCGAGAACGATGGGTTGCTCCAAGATCCCAACCTGTTTTGGATCTGCTGCTGGGGATCTAGGGTTGGCGGTTTCCAAGCCCTAAACCCTAAACCCTAAACCCTAAACCCTAAACTCTAAACCCTAAACCCTAAACCCTAAACCCCTAAACCCTAAACCCTAAACCCTAGGGTCGGTGGCCCTGAAGGGCCGGTTGACTGCTGGGGCACTCCAAACCATCGAAGCTCAGCGCCCCAAAGTGGGCTGCGCCTGGTTCTGGTGCTTGACCTTCGATGAGAGGTGCGCGAGGATCGGCTCGAATGCTGCATTGTCCTGTTCGGGGGCTAGGTTTCTGTGTTTAGGGCCCCCTAAACCCTAAACCCTAAACCCTAAAACCCTAAACCCAAACCCTAAATCCTACACCCTAAACCCTAAACCCTAAACCCTAAACTTTAGGGTTTAGATAGCTGGCTCGGGGCTTATGGCCGATGGTTCTGGGGCTATATAAGTTTAGGGTTTAGGGTTTAGGATTTAGGGTTTAGGGTTTAGGGCCTTATATGAGGGTAACGTGATAGAAAATATGACAAACCACGCACGTATATGCACAAACAACACAATACCTGCCCAACGATC